GCGCCCTCCGCGTGCGCCTCGCGGGCGCGCCCCGGGATCCGTGGCACGCGCCGCACACCCGCCTCCCTGCTCCCCCGCGTCCTCCTATTGGGCCCGGGAACAAGGGACGCTCTCTTAGGCCACGGGTTTTTCCTTGTTTTGTTCTCCCCTCGACTGTCTGGTCGGTTGGGCAGTGTAAGTGTGGCCGGGGGTGAATGTTGAGGCCTTGTTTCCCGCCGGCCCATGGTAGGTTTTGTGAGGCTGTTGCTGCCCCCACGCCGCATTCTTCTCGCTCCCCACCCGGTGGTTGTGAAGTTGGGAGGCGAGACCCCGCGGAGGGTTGGGAGTTTGCGTGCAGCCAGAGCAGTAGGCCTGGGCGGCCCCGGCTCTCCTCGCGTTCAGCCGCCGAGAAAAAGGTTCACGCACGTAGTGCGTAGGCTGGGTTCGTGGGGAAAGAGGCGCTTCCCTGGCACGCCCCGCTTCCCTGTGTCTCCTGGGAGAGGCGGGCTGCCCCAGTTTACTGAAGGTCACCTCTGCACCACCACTTCCTCTGACAGGGAAGAACAGTTTGGAGACTGATACGCAGGGGCGGGGGAAGGGCGAAGGAAGGGGGCGTCTAGAGCTGAGGCCACAGTTTGGGGACTCAGGTGTGAATCTACAATGTTTTCTCCTTTGTTTTTTTCCCCTTATTTTAAAGTCAGTGTGTACTTGAGGAATTCAGTTTGCATATATTTTTTGCCTTGTAGGAAGCTTTGTTTTCTGCTGTTACGTGGCATCTGAGAAGTGTCTGCACATTTTTTTGACTACCCAGCCCCTGATGCCTTGAATCATATTTATCTTAATTCATTTTGTGCTTCTCCTTGAATTTAAGGAAACTGGGAGGCTAATTAGCATGGCTTCTGTCTGCCAGTGGCTGAGCTAATTGATTTGAATCGTGGCCCAATACTTTCTTCTGCCCTTTTCTGTCAAAGCTTGTGATACTTATAGAATTCTGGGAAAATGGGGGAAAGCTGCTTTTTTTTTTTAAACCATCTGTAATAAACCTTTGTGAACTGGCTTCTCGATTTCTTTTTTCTGAAATTGGCTATAAAGATACCATTTGTTGAGCATCTATTACATGTTAGACGCTGTGCTATAGGCATAGATTTATTGATTGCTTAAAATTACTTGTAAGTTCATGAAAATGATGGAAGGGTACAAAGGAAAGTAGTATTTCTGTCTTTAGGTCAATAAAGTGCAAGTGTTAAGGCCTGAGTTTTCTTCCCAGGTTGTAGTGCTTGTTGGATTCTTATTAAATCCATTGTTTGCTTAGTTTTGTAAATAGAATTAAGTATGGTTCAGGTTCCTTTCACCTCATACTGCCCTTAAACCCGGTTTATGATCTTTCTCTTATTCAGGTGGTCTGACACCTGACAGCTTAATCTTTCCAAGGCATCCTGCTGTCTTGTTGATTTACCCACTCTCCTTTGCCTACCAAGTTAAGAACACACATTCAGCTTTACACTCAAGGCCCTCTCTGCATGGAACCAAGTTCTTTTTGCCAGCTCATCTTCTTTGGCTCCTAATTGTACCCCACAGTTTAGCCAACTGGGATTAATTGATGTTTTCCAGGTGGGCCTTTGTATATATGCCTTCGTCCCCTCATCTCTGAAACTGGAATGTCTTATCCTTTGTATACCCCTGTCAGAATTCTATCCTTCCTTCAGGGCCCATCTCCTGATTTTTCTTCTGTTAATCTGTTTTGAATTATGGAGTCCTGGTGGTGCAGTGGTTAAGAGCTATGGCTGCTACCCAGAAGGTCGGCAGTTCGAATCCACCAGCTGCTCCTTGGGAGCCCTTTGGGGTAGTTCTGCTTTGTCCTGTACGGTTGCTATGAGTTGGAATTGACTTGATGGCAATGGGTTTTATAGTACTTTGTATCTTAATTATAACACTTAAAGCATTTTGTTTTGTATGATTCCTGTTTTATTCTAGATTATAAACTCTTCGGGATTAGGGCCTAATATGGTGTACTGTCTATGTAAGGTACTCAAATATTTGTTGAATTAAAGGGACCTCTACTTGTACTGTCTTAACTAAACATTATTATTAGGTGTAATTTGGGGCTGATGAACGTAAACCCTGTATAAGATGTATGTCCTGCCAAACTATTAGATTATACCTGGCTGTTGATTTAGGATGTACAGTCTAGGCCAGAACAGGATGAGTTAGATTTGGGAAGTTTACTTCTTGCCTCTGAAATAATAGTTTGAACCCACCCAGTGGCACTGTGGAAGAAAGGCCTGGAGATCTGCTTCCGTAAAGATTCTAGCCAAGAAAACCTTATGTAGCAGTTATATTCTGTAACACATTGGGTCGCCATGAGTCAATCTACTCGACAGCTTCGAGTTTGCTTTTTCTTTTAAAGAATAACATCTAGAGCATTAGTTTATGGAAATAAATGTTCTCTAGGTTGTCAAAGAAATGCTTTTACATTTCTTCATTTATCTTGGAAGGAGTCCAAAACTACCTACTTGGAAGACCTTCCACCACTCCCTGAGTATGAGCTGGCTCCATCCAAGTTAGGAGAGGAAGTGGATGATGTTTATCTCATTCGAGCTCAAGGATTGCCCTGGTCATGTACTGTGGAAGATGTGCTTAATTTTTTCTCAGGTATATTTTATGTATGCTTTAAATACGTAATTTTTTCTGAGTAAAAGGCAGTCCCACGAAATACAAGTCAGGTTATGCTATAGATATCCTATTTGATTATTAGGAATTGCCTCATTCCACTGGTTACATATTCATACCAAGTTATACCACGTGCAGTACCATTTGTGGTATACCAGATTTAAAGACTAGGAATGCATCAAAAAGTGTTTAGTGTTAAAGTAACACTGTATGAAACCAGTTTTCTTCAAAGTTTTAATAGGTACATAGGAAAAAGCTGAACCTCTTAGTGGAAATACGGGGTTAAGATTAGCTGTTTATGTAATACATACATTTATAATACAGAATCACTCTGTGTCAAGTAATAAAGTTCCCTTAAAAACATGTTTGGAAGGTTTACCAATCTGTGGTTAGTTTTTTATATCTGATCATGATTTTTTAATTTTCCTGTTAAAAGGCTTTTAGAAGATGCTGCCTTAAAATGTTGAAAAACACTTTAACTGAATATATTAAATATCTTAATGTGCATGTCATTGTACAGGTCAAGCATTTTATAAAACTGCTTACACCTTCAACTTCCATTATACGAGATGTCTTTGTTTGGTAATGAAAAGGGAGAAAAGTTAAATTATGATAGCAAAATTATTCTTATAGGAGATATTTAGAATACTTACGGGTATGATTTTTAACAAGGGAAGACAGTTATGAATAAACCTTACCATATCTTAATTCCTTAAGTGATCTGAAACTAGTTGTAGAAACATTGGGATGGACATAGTGCATTTCGTGATGGGTCTACCCTGATTTACTATTTACAGGCCAGGAGATCATAAGCTTACGTGTTAAGGTTTGCTTATTTTTTACACTTGGAACATTTTAGGGACTACCAGCTCATCAGCATTTGGGTGGCTTCAGTGATGGGGGTTTGTGTAAAAAATACAACAGGCATTTTGGTTCATGATTTGTTTTCTTGTTGGAAAATTGCATTCGTAGTGACTTGTATAATTGAGCGAAAAGTTTGATTTCTGTTCTTAATTGATTTTACTCATATATTTAGACTGCAGGGTCCGCAACGGTGAGAATGGAATACATTTCCTCTTAAATAGAGATGGGAAACGAAGGGGTGATGCCTTAATTGAAATGGAGTCAGAGCAGGATGTGCAGAAAGCTTTAGAAAAGCACCGCATGTACATGGGTCAGCGGTATGTGGAAGGTACGTGAAGCCAGATTCTGGCTTTTTGGGATCATTGCATTCACAATTCATACTTTTCAGGGGCGTGTTTGTTTGATCACTAACAATAGTGAAGTAGTTAAATATTAGGAGCACACCATTTTACAACTTGTGAAAACTAAGCACAGAGAGATACTGTCAGTTTCTTACCTATAAAATGAGCATGTTGACCAAGCTTATCTCAAAAGTTGTGAGAATTAGATGAGTTACGCTGGTCACATAATAGTACATGTCATTTGTCATTATTTTCTCCTGAGAAGTAAGATAAAAATGCTAGTTATTGAATTTATTGATAACCTATCAAGTGGTGATACATTTTTTTTTTTTTAGGGTCTTTTTTTCATACCTTGTGTGCTTTTTCATTGTAGTTTTTTAATTCTTTGACAGCGTATCAAGTGGAGATATATTTGATTTTTTTTTTTAATTAGGTTTTTCTTGGATAGGGTTTTTGCATACCTTTTGTGCTTTTTCATTGTAGTATATGAGATAAACAATGAAGATGTGGATGCCTTAATGAAGAGCCTGCAGGTCAAACCTTCACCTGTGGTAAATGATGGTGTGGTTCGTTTGAGAGGACTTCCTTACAGTTGCAATGAGAAAGACATTGTAGACTTCTTTGCAGGTGCTTTTCAATGATACATGTTTGGGACCTCATATCTTTTTTCCCTGTATTGTCTTCTTTTTCTATACCTTAGATGAACCTTTTCTAGGTAACAGCATACAGTTATATTAGGTTCTTCAGGGGAGAGCTCTGATTCAAATTTCTGGTATCATAGATTATATAAAAGTTATGACCTGTTGGGCAGATCTCTGGAGGAGATCAGATTTCCTCGTCCTAGTGATCATATTTGTCTAAGGCAGTAACAAATTTATTTGCTATAAAAGAATTATTATCCAATTTCTAGCCATAAAATATGCACCACTAGTAGTGATCTTAGTCTAAATCTCTGTTGTCCCCTAATACATAATTAATGACCCCCCCCCCCAAAAAAAAAAGAAAAGGTGACAGTTGTGTGTTTTAGATGGGCTGCTTGGACTCTAAATGTGTTGTTCATTCTGGAAATATAGGTGTTGTTACCTTTTGGCTGTTTAATAATTTTCTTCTCATTAGGCATGTATCCAGCTTTGGGATGGACAAAACAGCAGAAAAATTTTTTTATTACTGAGTGACTGTGTTAATACTGAGGGGGAGAAAGCTCCTGTTGGCAATACTTATTTGTAATAATTTTTTGGTGTCCTAGGACTGAATATAGTAGACATTACATTTGTCATGGACTATAGAGGGAGAAGAAAAACAGGGGAAGCCTATGTGCAGTTTGAAGAACCAGAAATGGCCGACCAAGCCCTGTTGAAACACAGGGAAGAAATTGGTAACCGGTGAGTGAAGCAGATACTGATGATGCAGAAGTATCACACATCAGGTCATTTTGATGAATGTACTGTAATATGAGTGTAAAAGTTTCCAGACACAAAGTAATTTGAGAGTAGGATGATGAATGTATCACCTAGTTGAACAAATATTAACATTTTACATTGCGTTCGTCTGTTTTCTAGTATACATCTTTAAAAAAAAAACCAGTGTATTCTCATATAATCACAGTATCATTACCACATCTAACAAAATTAGCATTATTTAATGCCTGTCAATACTCAGATATTGCCAGTTATCCCCAAAATGCCTTTTTACAGTTGGTTGGTTTGAGTGAGAATCCAGACAAGGTCTAAACATTGCATTTGATTGTTATATATTTGATTCTCTTAAATTAGAGCAAATCCCTTTTGGCTTTATTTTTATTTCTTCACTCTTTTTAATGCCATTGGCTTTTGAAGAATCTGGTCACTTCTCTTGTACAGTGTCTTACTTTCTGTATTTGTCTAATTGTTTCTTCATGGTGTCATCTGACTTGTTTCATCATCCTTTATTATTTTCTGGAAATTGGAAGTTAGAGCTAAAGTTTTGAATTGGTTCAGGTTACCATTTTGTTAAGGATACTCTATAGGTGATCTTCTATACTGCATATCACATCACATCAGGATGTATGTAATGATGGGTGGGCTTTTAACTTTGACTTTGGAAGTGCAGTCAAAGTAGTGTTAAATTTTAAATCACCATTTTACTGCTCACTGGCCTTTTTTCAGCTCCTTTGAAGTTAAAAAGATTCCACTTAAAAACCAGTGTATTTCTGGATCTATTTATAAAAGTGGTTAAAAGGTCTTCGTTGAATTTTTTTAGATGAAGAAAGTATATGCAGAGCACTCCCTCCCAACTTTTTTCCAGCACTCTTCATATTTTCTTGTATTTTGGAACCACTGGTGTTCTGTTTTTATGTGGGAAGATTAAGGCAGTGTACAGATATCTTTTAATAAATTCAGAAGTAGTTTCCATCTAATCTTTATAGGTCTGAAAATACAAATGACTTTTATAACTCAAATTTAATAACCTAGTTTGGAGAAGTAGTGGTTAGAAACTGATTTCAGAAACTTGATTTGATAGTTTCACTGCCTCTATGATAGCGAGTCAGAATTGACATTTAGTTCTTGAATTCTCATCAGACGCTTAGTGAAGTTATGGGAGAGTTAGCTCTACAGATACAGTGACGTTTAATATCTATACCAGTGTGATTAATTTCCACAGAATTGAACTACAAGCCTTCAAGTAATTGTTATCCAACTGTAAAAAGAAAAACCCTTTCTTACCAGATTATTTCTGTTCTGTACACACAGTTAATCTTCACATAATTGTCTTCATGAAGAGAAACAGAGTAGAGATACTGTTAAATGTATATGAAGAGCACTGTTATTTTGGGAGGGGGAAGATTAAATCAGTGACTAGTGAGAATCCTCTTCTATAGGCTGATATTTATATCCATCCACCTGTTATCTTTAGACATCTGTGTTTCATAAGCTTTTGACTTTATAACATAATCATGTTTGTTTTATATGGGTTCAAAGTTGCTTTGTATCATTTGTGCCTGTTCATTTTTGCTTTGATATAGATATATAGAGATATTTCCAAGCAGAAGGAATGAAGTTCGAACACATGTTGGTTCTCATAAGGGAAAGAAAATGGCATCTTCTCCTACTGCTAAGTATATAACTGAGCCAGAAAT